AATAATTGTAGAGGAAGACCAATACTCTAGCAGAGTATGTTTCAGGACCTAGGGCTGGAGCTAAAAGATACATCACCATGCCTACCCTGCTCCCTAGAGAATAGATACTGAGCTATAAAATTATATCACATTTATTTTTTATTTTTTGATATAAGAGAAAAATGACCCTTGTACCTAGAAAGAAGAATATGGAGGGAAACACCAACTGACAAGTTTTAGCTAACTTCTTTTGACTTCCCTTAACCCAAAGTCATGAGCATCAACATTCTCTGTTTGTTATGTCCCTGGTTTTTGGTTTTTTTTTTAAGATTATTTATTTATTTATTTATTTGACAGGCAGAAATCACAAGTAGGCAGAAAGGCAGGCAGAGAGAGAGGAGGAAGCAGGCTCCCTGCCACATAGAGAGCCCGATGCGGGGCTCGATCCCAGGACCCTGGGATCATGACCTGAGCCGAAGGCAGAGGCTTTAACCCACTGAGCTACCCAGGCGCCCTGTCCCTAGTTTTCATGTAGTTTCCTCATTCATAAAGACTAAGCTATGAAGAATTTCCAGGAACTGCATGGGGGATATGAGGGGAGAGGAAAGAAATGGCAGGGAGGAAAACACTTTCTGTAGCTTTTTCCTAAGACCCAGCAGATGGTGCTATGAGAACATTGCCTTCTGGACAAGCGTGAAAGTGAGTGCCCTGGGGCAGAAAGATAACTTCACTGTTTATCTTCACCAGTTTTGTTTCTTGGTGGTGGTTGTGGTGGTTGTGGTTGTGGTTGTTATTGTTTTGGGTCAAACACTTCATTCCTCAAGAACTCCCCTCCAAATTCTGCCTTTTCTAAGACATGAATAGTCCCATATTCCCTGGCTATTCCTAGGAAAAAGCATATTTGAGTGTGAATCTCATCTTCTCCATTTAATAACTAAGTGACTTAAAACAAGTTACATACTTTCTCTGAGCCTCAGTTTTATCATCTGCAAAATGGAGGTAAGAATCCTACATCATATAGTTGTGAGGATTAATAAAATGATGAACATAAGTGTGCAAAGCACTATGCTTGACATAAAGAGAAACATAATTTTCTTTCTTCTGCCTAAATGTGGAGGTACTAAAAAAAAACCTAGAATGTGACACATAGCATAAGAAATCTCTTTTCCCAAACACTGTCATCTCCAAGGGAAAACCATGAACTGATTTATGAAGGGGGAGTCTTCATGCCCACCCTTTTACTATGGAGCACATACTCTGGTAAAATCGTGATTCTCTGTTTGGGAAAGGATTTTTGTGATAATGTAGTCCAACTCTTACATTAGTAATATTCAAAAGGGAATGAAGAAGCCAAAACACACATTGAATATGCCTCTTGTTTTCAGGACATGAACCAGGAAATAGTACTCAACAAATCTCTGGTTGCTAACATTGGAAGGTATTCAGAAAATGTAGCTTTGAAATGGTTAAAACTTTCTATGATACATGGAAATTTTTTAATGCCCCCCACAATAAATTCAATTACTTTGCAAAGAGCTCAATGCATATTTAGTCAATTCATAGGTTAAAACTTCTTTACATAAAGTCAAAATTTACCTCTTTTTCAAGTGCCCAAAGGTCCCTTGTTCTGTTCCCTTTTCCTACCACCTCATGCACACTGACACTCACAAACAGACCTGCACATTGTCTCTTCCACTGGAGTTCATGGTTCTGCTGCCCCACACTTCCCAGCCCTTCTCTTCTATCTGGGACTCTCCTTTCCTGGGGAATCATCCTGACAAGAAAGTGTAGAGGAGAGTCAGGGTTCACATCCATCCATTGTGATATGTGAAATTAAGGTATTTAAACTGTCAGTAAGTCAGTGTCAATACATAAGTTTTACTGAAACACAGGCATGCTCACTTTTTTGCACATCATCTATGAATGCTTTCATGCTACCAGGCCACAGCTGAGTAGCTGCAAAAAAGACTGTCCCACAAAGCCTAAAATATGTACTATCTAGCCCTTTACAGACGAAGTTTGCCAACCCATCAATTAGGAGAACACTGGCTCCAAGAGCATGTTTCACCTAGAATAGTCTTCACCAACAACCCTCTTTTCCCTCTGTGGCAACAACTGTCTCTGGCAGGAAATTAGTCTTCACTCAGCAAACGCTACCTCCCCTGCATTCCCACAGTCTCAGTCACACCTTCAAAAAGCTCCCTCCTCTGATAGAAGCATGACAATCTGGCCCAAATCAGACATCTAGAGGAAACACAGCCACAAAATGGATACTGACTCTGCAGCCCTCTGGGTAGTTCTTAGAAGAAAACAGAGTCATAATGGTTGAATTTGGAATCATGTAATTTATCATTTACCAATAGTTACAACCACTCCTTCCCAAATCCTAATGACTATATTGCATAAGCTTCAAGTCTATGTGACTTCACTCAGCTTCAGTGACATTCGTGCTATACATACAATTCACAATGGATGAAATGCAGAGTAAGGTTGCAGGGATAATCAGAAAGCCACTTATTGATTCCCAAGCTCAAGATTCAGTTTCTATTCAGGTGAAATTATGTCCTCTGAAGTGAAGATGACAGGAGAGAGGGTAGACCCCAATCTTGTGAAAAAGTAGAAGTTGGCCAATGCTGAGTACTACAGACATGACCCTCACTCTTCTTTCAATTCAATATGACAAACATTTACTGGGAACTTTTATGTGCCAAGTAATGTGCTGAGTCCCCCAGTGACACAGGTAATAATGCCATTCCCTATTCTCAAGAAACTCACAGGATAGACGTGATAAAAACACATAGACAGATACATACGGTATACAGATGCATGTGTAAGAAAGGATATACACCAAATAACGAACAATAGCTATTTCTGGGTAGGAAGGTTACAGGTATTTTCATTTGCTTCGCTTTGCTTATCTGTGTTTTTTTTTTTAATTTTTTATATTAAACATTAATTACATAGTAAAATAATTTTAAAACATTTTACAATATAGTATGATTGATACTATAACAAAATTATGCATCAGGTACACAGTTATAACTCTCCTGAGTAATTCAAGAAATACTTCTTACATGATGTCTAAAGTAGGTTTTAAAAAATGAATAGCAGTGCACTAGGCAGATAATGAGGAAAGATATTCCAAGAAAAAAACATGAAATAGGACAGTATATTCAGGAAGGCTTAAGTATTAATTACTGGTGAAGCATAAAGAACAGGGAGAGAAGAGATAGGGCTAGAGAGAAGCCACAGCCCAGATCATGAATAACCTTGGATACCATGCTAAAGAGCATGGATTTCTTTCTAAGGTTATATAGTGGTTAAAATGAAAGCTACAGGGACGCCTGGGTGGCTCAGTTGGTTAAGCAGCTGCCTTCGGCTCAGGTCATGATCCTAGCGTCCTGGGATCGAGTCCCACATCAGGCTCCTTGCTCGGCGGGGAGCCTGCTTCTCCCTCTGCCTCTGCCTGCCATTCTGTCTGCCTGTGCTCGCTCACTCTCTCTCCCTCTCTGACAAATAAATAAATAAATAATCTAAAAAAAAAAAAATGAAAGCTACATTGATGAATGGCCACTAAGGTATAGTAAATAAGTTTAGGTAAAGAGACCAGAAGCCCTTTACGGTCATTATCAATTCAAGAGAAATGGTAATAATACCATGGGTAATAATATCATGGATGATACTTTAGCTGGAAATCCATATAAGAAAATAAAGCTTAAAATGAGAGAGTTTGACTGAATAATCCTTAAGGTTCCTTTTAAACACCAGATTCCATGATTCTTGGACATTTGGTCCCTGATGTTCCTGCACACATTCCATTCAACTCCAATTAAAGTCCATATAATTGGTTATCAATGCATTATGATAGACACTTTGTTGAATATGCCAAGAAGTCTTTCTGCAGTGTTCAGAGACTCTGGCAGGTGGGGCTGCTAATAGCCCAGATTTGGGAACTGCTAATGCAATCTCAGGTGAACAAGTAAGGAAGACAAACACCTGGGAGGTGGAGATGGAGGTGTAGGTGGAGCTGTGCTTATCTGGGAGTGAATCAGAACATCTCAAAGAGCAGCTCCTCCCTGAGATGGACCATTATTCGCTCTATAAAAAGGCCACCATCCTCAACTAGAAGCACCCTGTAAGCTATTCTAGTCTCCATCCTACTTGTTCCTCTGGTGAACTAGGTAAGTGAACAGGAGTGCTTTGGGCTATAAATTACAAGAATCCAGGATGTGTTCTAAGGCAAAGAGTCACTGGATACCAGGCTTCTTTTTAATGTACTTTGGGGACTTTGATATAATTTTAACTTTATTGAGAAGGAAAATAAAGAGATGACTGGGAATGATGGTACCTTCTTTCTTCAGGGTCATTTTCTTAAAGATGATGGGCTTTCAATTGTCACTTGGCAAGTTGCCCCTGGACTTCTGAGATTTTTTTCTCTGTTGTAAAATCAGTAAACCCTGAAAGTCAGTCCCTGTTTGGATAATTAAAACAGAAGTGGGACTGATAGCAGCTGCATCCAGCTCCATATCACCTAGGCCTGTAGTTTCCCACTTTGTGTACTTTCTCTGGCCTACAAGTTTTGAGAGTCTAGCTTAGCCACTGGAGTCAGGCATACCATGTGGATGATAGACCGGTCCCTCTTCAGTGATGGTTGGCACCTAAAGAGGAATTGAGGAAGTGGGTAGACTGGCACACCCAGAATTTCTCTAGCTCTAGAACAATGCTCATGAAATTATCCCTGGTAAAGGTGGGGAGCTCAAAACATAAAATCATTGCTCCTACATACATTCAGGAATGAAAATAAGATATAGATTCTGTTCCTACTTTCATCACTCTCTTGCTACATGGCTTGAACAAGTCTATCAACTCTGGATTGGTTCTTGATTTCAAAAGGATGAATTTAATGATGCCCAATTAATTCTGAACAACTATTACAAATGATTGGAACTATTTATGTATATAAGCAAGAAAAAGGAATAATATAAGGTGGGTCTCTCTCCTTTCTTTCCATTAGGTTAAATTTACAAAAAAAAATGCCTAAACTCCTAAAAAGTATCGTCACTGTCGTTGATCTTTTCTACCAATATGCCACCCGGGATGGGGAGTGTGACATGTTGAACAAGGCAGAACTGAAAGAACTTTTGGAAAATGAGTTTCATCAAATTCTGAAGGTAAGAACTCCAGGTCAGGACTGAAGACAGCTGCAATGCTTTTCTTCATCCCCTCCTACCTTTTTGTCACCTATGTCAAATTCCTACAGGACTCTCTCTACTTGGTAATAGAGAACAGGGTTTGGTAAAGGCTTGAAATATGATCAAAAGTTGACCCAAGTGGTTTCTAAAACATGACCAAGGGATGTGATCCTACTGAACAGACAAAATCCATAGATTATATAATATCCCATCTGTGTGAGTAATTCTTACGGAATAAAAAATTAAGATGGTTCTCAGAAAAAAAAAAGTAGGTAAAATTCATCTTCTTCCCTTTATTTGTCATTCTTCAGCCCATTCTGACCACTGCCCATTTCTGAGACTGCGACACTACAAGGCCTCTGAGTTCAGGAAGTTAGCATCTTACTCCTAAATCATGAAACTTGGTGACCACCATCTTAAAATGTCACCTCTGAAAAAAATATATATATTTGGGAGCTTAGATCTAGCTCTTCATTATATCCAGCTGCCTACGAAATATTTCTTATTTGGATTCCTAAGGGTGTAATTCAGTGTGTCAAATATTAAACCATTTCCCTCCAAACTCTATATATAGGATATATATAGGCTATAGTAAATATCCTATTTACCCAAGGCAGAAATCTGGTTCAGTTCATGGTTGCTTCTCTCAGCAAGCACCTCCATCCTCAACCTTTCATCTAATTCATCAATAGTCTCTCAAAACAGCCCATTTCTCTCCATCACTATTGCTAGTCCTCTGGATCATGTCACCTTCTATTTCTAATCTTAGTCATCATAAGTGCAAATCTAATCATTTCACAGCTCAATTCAAAGTCCTTCAAAAGCTGCCAGATCTTTTGGGGGGGCGGTTTGAGAAAGGAAGAGGGAGAGCACTCATTCCAGAGGTGAGGGGGGAAAAGAGGGAGGGGCTAGGCTCCATCTCACAACCTGGGATCATGACCTGAGCTGAAACCAAGAGTCAAATGCTTAACCGACTGAGCCACCCAGGTGCCCCAAAAGTTCACAGCTTCTAAAATAAATAAAGTCCAAAGTTCCTTTACACAACTTAAAATGCATGATCTGATCCCTATGTGTTTCTCCAGCAATATCCCCTGGCTATTGAGACTCAAAATTTAACAATCCTGAATATCTTTCAGTGCCTCATATGAGGCATGTATCCTCTAACCTCCAGCTTTGTTCATATTGTTCTTTCTTCCTGGAACAATCTTTTGCCCTCTCTCCCTCCTTTCCTAACCCTTCATTTGGCTAAGTCCAGCCCATACTTCAAAAGACATCACTTCCTCTCATTAACCTTCCTTGAACCCCCACTGGTTCTCTTATGGTGTACTTTCAAAAACATTATCACAATGCACTGTAATTTTAAGTTTGTGTGTCTATGCATTTTGTCAGAAAACAAACTTGTTCACTGCTTTATCCCTGCACTGAACCCAATGCTAAGCAGAGAGTAGGTGCACAATAAATCTTCATTAAATGAACTAATTAGTGAAGTAATAGCTGCGAAAATAAAGAAAATTCATATATAATTATATAATTATTCATATATAATATATATAATATTATTAAAATAATTTTATATAATTATGTTATATAAAATAATATAACAAATCATTCATATTTGACCTATTCTTTTTCATTTTTTTAAATTCCTATTTATAAATTAGCTAATCATATTTGACCATTTCTTACAAAATATAATTCATTCCTTTTCCCTAACATCTTCCATTTGCATCTTCTAGCAATTTCTCACTGCATTGTTTATTACCTATTTCTTTCTTTCTTTCTGCTCAGGATAGAGCAGTCCTGCCTAAAGGATTGGGTGGCTGAGCTCCACCTACGCCAGAATATCTGGCTACAGTCTTCTTTCAAATGGTTAGCTGGATATGTAGTCCATAGTGAAATAGCTGCCCCTTGTGTCTTATTCCTATACAGAATCCAGATGATCCAGACACTGTAGATATCATCATGCAAAATCTGGATCAAGACCGTGACAAGAAAGTGGACTTTACTGAGTATCTTCTGATGATATTTAAACTGGCTCAGGCTTGTAATAAAATCATCAGCAAAGATTACTGCGAAGCTTCAGGGTCAAAACAGAGAGACCACAATCACCAGCACCAAGAGGAAAAAAGTGAAACAAAAGAGGAGGAGAAAAGGCAAGGTCATTCAAGATCAAGTACAGGAGAGAATGATTCCAGGGTCTCCAGAAGAAGCAATAAACACAGGCCTGGGTCCAGCTCCAGAAGAATGGACCATCAAGGAGGCTTGTCAAGTTCAGAGCACAGGCAAAGCTCTGGGGAAAGAAGAAGAGAGTCAAGTTCAGGCCACTTCAAAGAGAGTAAGAAAAACAGGCATGGCTCTTATAAACAAGAGAGGTCTGAGAGTCATTCTTCTGGTCAGAGGCAACATAGAACCAATAAAAGTGGTCAATCTGGACTTAGTAGACAACGAAAATGGTCTACAAGCAATGAGGGATATGGGTCTGAATCAGGCCAGTCCATAAGCAAAGGCAAAAATCAGTCAAGCTCCTATGAGTCCTCTACTCAGAGAAAACATAGCAGCAGCTCTACTCATCAGTCAGGAGGTTATGGAAGACAAAATCATGGCTCTGTGTCAGGCCAGTCCTCTAATTATGGAAAATATGGACCTGGTTTTAATCAGTCTTCTAGTCAGAAATACCATGAATCTAGCTCAGGATCCAGTTTAGGTGAATCATCAAGCTGTGGACAACATGAATTTGGATCAGGTCAGTCCTCTGGCTATGAACAACATAGATCTGGCTCAGGTCAATCTTCTGGCTTTGGGCAACATGGATCTGGTTTAGGTCAATCTTCTAGTTATAGACAAAACAGTTCTACTTCAGGATGTTCATCAAGCTGTGGACACTATGGATCTGGCTCAAGTCAATCTTCTAGCCATAGCCAACACTGGTCCAGCTCAGGAGAGTCGTCTCACTATGGACAACATAGTTCTGGCTCAAGTCAATCTTCTGGCCACAGCCAACATGGGTCTGGCTCAAGAGAATCTTCTAGCAATGGACAACATAGGTCTGGCTCAAGTCCATCTTTTAGCCCCAGCCGACATGGATCGGGAACAGGCCAGTCCTCTGGCTTTGGGCAACATGGGTCAGGATCAGGTCAGTCTTCTAGCCATAGCCAACATAGGTCTGGATCAGGCCAGTCTTCCGGCTATGGACGACATAGATCTGGCTTAGGTCAGTCCTCTACATATGGTCATCAAGGATCTGGATCAGGTAAGTCTTCTGGCTTTGGGCAACATGAGTCTAGCTCAGGAGAGTCTTCTGGCACTGAGCATAGATCTGGCTTAGGTCAATCACCCAGCTCTGGACAGCATAAATCTGGATATGGTCAATCATCTAGCTATGGACAACATGGTTCTACTTTTGGGCAGTCATCAAGCTGTGGTCAACATGGATCTGGATCAGGACAGTCCTCTAGTTATGGCCAACATAGGTCTGGCTCAGGCCAGTCTTCTGGCTATGATCAACACAGATCTGGCTCTGGTCAGTCTTCTGAATATGGTCATCATAGATCTGGATCAAGTCAATCTTCTGGTTTTGGGCAACATGGGTCTAGCTCAGGTCATTCTTATGGCTTTGGGCAACATGAGTCTAGCTCAGGAGAGTCCTCTGGCACTGAACATGGATCTGACTTAAGTCACTCATCAAACTCTGGAAAGCATGAATCTGGATACAGTCAGTCTTCTAGCTATGGACAACATGGTTCTGCTTCTGGACAACAGTCATCAAGCTGTGGTCAACATGAATCTGGATCAGGCCAGTCTTCTGGCTATGGCCAACACAGAGCTACCTCAGGTCAGTCCTCTAGATATGGTTATCATGAGTCTGGATCAGGTCAGTATTCTGGCTTTGGGCAACATTGGTCTGGATCCAGCCATCATTCTAGCTATGGCCAGCCTGGGTCTGGATCAGGCCAGTCTTCTGGCTATGGTCAGCATGGGTCTGGCTCAGGACAGTCTTCTGGCCATGGTCAGTATGGTTCTGGCTCAGGTCAATCCTCTACCTATGGACAATATGGTTCTGCTTCAGGACAGACATCAAACTGTGATCAACATGAATCTGGATCAGGCCAGTCTTCTGGCTATGGGCAACAGAGATCGGGCTCAGGTCAGTTCTCTAGAAATGGTTATCATGAGTCTGGATCAGGTCAGTCTTCTGGCTATGGCCAACATGGGTCTGGATCCAGTCAGTCTTCTAGTTATGGCCAACATGGATCTGGATCAGCTCAGTCTTCTGGATTTGGGCAACATGGGTCTGGCTCAGGTCAGTCTTCTAGCTATGGTCACTGTAGGTCTCGACCAGGACAGTCTTCTGGCCATGGTCAGTATGGTTCTGGCTCAAGTCAATCCTCTAGATATGGACAATATGGTTCTGCTTCAGGACAGACATCAAGCTGTGGTCAACATGAATCTGGATCAGGCCAGTCTTCTGGCTATGGACAACAAAGATCAGGCTCTGGTCAGTCCTCTTGGTATGGTCATCATGGGTCTGGATCAGGTCAGTCTTCTGGCTTTGGGCAACATGAATCCAGCTCAGGAGAATCCTCTGGCAATGAACAGGGATCTGGCTTAGGTCAGTCATCAAGCTCTGGACAGCACAAACCTGGATGTAATCAGTCCTCTAACTATGGACAACATGGTTCTGCTTTTGGACAGTCATCAGGCAGTGGTCAACATGCATCTGGATCAGGCCAGTATTCAGGCTTTGGGCAACACTGGTCTGGATCAGGTCAGTTTTCTGGCTGTGGGCAACATGGGTCTGAATCTGGTCAGTCTTCTGGCTTTGGTCAACATAGCTCTGGATCAGGCCAATCTTCTGGCTATGGAGTATATGGGTCTGGATCCACTCCGTCTTCTAGTTATGGCCAACATGGGTCTGGGTCAGGTCAGTCTTCTGGCTTTGGGCAACATGGATCTGGCTCAGGTCAGTCTTTTAGCTATGGTCACCATAGGTCTCGATCAGGACAGTCTGCCGGCCATGGTCAGTATGGTTCTGGCTCAAGTCAATCCTCTAGCTATGGACAATATGGTTCTGCTCCAGGACAGACATCAAGCTGTGGTCAACATGCGTCTGGATCAGGACAGTCTTCTGGCTATGGCCAACATGGGTCTGGATCAAGTCAGTCTTCTAGTTATAGCCATCATGGGTCTGAATTAGGCCAGTCTCCTGGCTTTGGGCAACATGGGTCTGGATCCAGTCAGTCTTCTAGTTATGGCCAACATAGGTCTGGATCAAGCCAGTCTTCTGGCTTTGGGCAACATGGTTCTGGATCCAGCCAGTGTTCTAGTTATGGCCAAAATGGGTCTGGATCAGGTCAGTCTTCTGGCTTTGGGAAACATGGATCTGGCTCAGGTCAGTCTTCTAGCTATGGTCACCATAGGTCTCAATCAGGACAGTCTGCTGGCCATGGTAAGTGTGGTTCTGGCTCAGGTCAGTACTCTAGCTATGGACAATATGGTTCTGCTCCAGGACAGACATCAAGCTGTGGTCAACATGTGTCTGGATCAGGCCAGTCTTCTGGCTATGGCCAACATGGGTCTGGATCAAGTCAGTCTTCTAGTTATAGCCATCATGGGTCTG